TCCTTCCTCTGGACCTTCTCCCCGTTTCTCCCCCCCGTCCTCCCCACTTTCCGCCTCTTCAATCCCCCCCTCATCCCTGCTCCCTCCCCGCTCCCCGGACATGGACGGGTGCCATCGCAACAGTATGATGCTTCGTCGTTGGTCAGCACCTCCGCACGTAACAAAAAAACATTCCTTCCCCACTCCTGCGCACATGCGTGCAAGCGCATCGGGCGAACGCGGTGCCAGCAAGCACCAGGGATATCAGAGAAAAATTAACCGATCGCCCGTCCAGGCCTCGAGGTCCCCCCTGCTGAAGCAAGCGATGATGTATTGCTTTGCCGGGGAAGCGCCCAGAACAAGGCGCATGGCGCGAAGCACCAAAGCAGTCTTGTTTTTGCATGCATATATATAGACATACACATATACATATACATGTTCATCGACATCTACATATACATGTACCTATACATATGCATATGCATATATATATATATATACGTATACATATACATATACATATACATAGACATAGACATATATATATATATACATACATACATACATATATATATATATACATATACATATACATATACATATACCTACTCATATACACCTACATATACATATACATATACATATGCACATACATATACATATACATAGACATAGACATAGACATAGACATAGGCATAGGCATAGGCATAGGCATATACATAGACATAGACATAGACATATACCTATACCTATACATATATATAGATATATACGTATACATATATACACATGTGTGTTGGCGTCGCGGCCTCGCGCGCAGCGTCGGGGCGTAAACAAACGGAAGGCGGAGAACACGCGCGCGCGTCGGCCCGCCCCTGAATCGGGGGCGCAAATCCGCCGCCGGGGATCAACCGTGCCATGCCCACGCCCGGGCATGAGCTGGGGGGGAGAGACGAAGAGACGGGACGGTGCCAAAAGGCCACTGCCGACAGGAAGGGGGAGCAAGGCGAGGCGCCATGACGGCACAGGCACGACCGAGGGGGCGAGCGACCAGGCAGGACGGGGCAGGCGACGCAGGGGCGGCGACGAGGAGAGACGCAGGGCAGCCGAAAGGGGGAGAGTGAAAAAGCAGGTGGCCAGCGATGCGGGAGAGGCGAAGGGCAGCCGAAAGGGGGAGAGTGAAAAAACAGGTGGCTGGCGATGCGGCACCCACACGCAGGCACAGACACAGACACAGACACTGACACAGACACAGGCACAGACACAGACACAGACACAGACACAGACACAGACACACACACACACACACACACACAGACACCCCCACACACACACACACACACACACACACACACACACACACACACACACACACACTGACACTGACATTGACACTGACACTGACACAGACACAGACACTGACACAGACACAGGCACAGACACAGGCACAGACACAGACACACACACACACACACACTCACACTGACATTGACACTGACACTGACACAGACACTGACACAGGCACAGACACAGACACACACACACACACACACACACATACACACACACACACACACAGACACACACACACACACACACACACACGCGCGCGCGAGCGCACACTTGTCGGTCGTCGCGGGCGGGAGCACCTCCTGACCGCCCAGCCCGCGCTCGGAGAACCGCGCGAAAGCCCGGTAATTCGCCGACGATATAGAAAGAGAACAAACAAACAAACAAATAAATTATCCCGGCAAAGCGACCTAACATCGATGTGTAGGAGCATATCTGGAAGCATTCCCCTTAAGATTCGGATGAGAATCCAGTTGTAGAATTCTGCTGTTCTCGCAGTCGTAGTCGCATTCGCGATGACAGTCGCAGTGGCAACGGCAGTCGCAGTCACAGCCTCAGCCTCAGCCTGCCTCAGCCTCAGCCTCAGCCTGCCTCAGCCTCAGCCTGCCTCAGCCTCAGCCTCAGCCTGCTTCAGCCTCAGCCTCAGTCTGCCTTCAGCCTCGGCCTCAGCCTCAGGCTGCCTCAGCTCAGCCTGCATCAGCCTCAGCCTCAGCCTCAGCCTGCCTCAGCATCAGCCTGCCTCAGCCTCAGCCTCAGCCTGCCTCAGCCTCAGCCTCAGCCTGCTTCAGCCTCAGCCTCAGTCTGCCTTCAGCCTCGGCCTCAGCCTCAGCCTGCCTCAGCCTCAGCCTGCATCAGCCTCAGCTCAGCCACAGCTCAGCCTCAGCCTGCCTCAGCATCAGCCTGCTTCAGCCTCAAA